AGTCATCATTCTGGCATTAAGTGCTATGCATGTCAGCCAAATGTGCACAAAGCAGTTGGATGTTTTATAAACTGTCTTACTCAGGGTAACTAAGCACATGCCCTGTACACTCTAACTCCACATAAATATGTTTGGCTCATAATGCTTCCATTTGTTTTCATTAATAAATACTTATTGGTCAACTCCTGTTTACAAGAAAACACTGTGCTAAGGGCTGAGTGGATGAGGTGACAACTAGTGGTTAAGAGAGTTCTGAACTTACATTAACTAAATTCAAATTTTTAATCACTTTACTCATTCTATGACCTTAGGGAGAAAAATAAAGAAATGTTTAATTACAATAAATGCAAAGAGGGAGTCAAACTTCAGAAGCACTTGGCCAAACAATTCAAAAGAATATTATTCCTCAAGTTACCTAGTTTGCATGGCATTTTCATGCCGTTCTTGGCAGAAACAGCAACTTTTGTACCTGGTTTTCATATCTTCAGAGGACATCATAAATTTTCATATATAACATGGGTAAAATCAGTTTCAAAATTGTCTTGCTAGAAAGATTCAGGTGTCAGAGAAACATTCAAGGCTTTATATTTCGGAGATCATAAACAGTATAATTCTGTAATTTTCAGACTTTTTTTCAAGATGCAAATTATTCTGTTCCTTTAGACTGCTTTGTAAAGTGCTTAGTCATATTAGAAGCAGAACAAAAGTGTCATTTTGTGCTTCTACATCTCCTGAATTGTTTTTCTGCTTCCAATATCTACTCATTTAGGTTCACCTTTGTTCTTCTTCAGAATCATCTTTCTAAATTCATCTTATAATGTCAATTCCTTCTGAAAAAAAAAAATCTCAGCTAACTCCATATAGTCCACATGCGAATGTTAAACTCTTTAGCTAGAGACCAACAAAATCTAGACTTGACCCAGTTTACCTTGATCATCCCCCAGCACTTCCTCACTTTTCATCCTATTTCCTCTTAGTAAAAACTCCTTTACTCCACTAACAATGATCTTGTTAAGGTCACAATGATATTTATTTGTCAAGTCCAATAGTCTATTTTCTGTCCTTATGTTATAAGACATTTTTGCTGCGTTTAACAGCACCAATCATCTTTTATCCTTCAAACCTCTTCTTACCATGGTTTCCCTGATTCCAGTGTCCTGGATTTCCTTTTATTTATAAGTAACAGTCATAGAATTTACTCTCTTTTCTTCTACTAGTCCCTTATATGTTGTTGCTTTGCAGGTTCCATTCCCTGACACTTCTCTTTTCATTCTGTACAATCTCCCTGGATGATTTTATCCTTTCTCATGATTTTGACTGACTCCTGCATGCTGATGACCTCCAAATCTAAGTGTCCAGTCCATACCTCCAGTAACCTGGTGGACATTCCTATATGGAAGCTCTATAAGCATCCGAAGCTGAAACTCACTAACTACATAATCCCCACCTTACAATTCCTTTCTCCTTTTAAGTTCCTAGCTCACTTGACAGAGGCACCATTTACCCAGTCATTCACACTAAAATCTTGGAACGTAACCATTTTTCTTTCTTTTTTCTCACTCATCAGTCACTAGACAGTTTTTCCACTCTCTGTTTTTCAGATCCATTCCCTCCTCCTCAACTCTATAGCCACTGAACTACTTCAGACACCCATCATCTCTTCTATTTCTAGTCTCCTAATTGGACTTTTCTCTGTTCTCACCATCCTTAAACCCATCCTCCTAAAATCTCTCAACCAAATTATTCTATTTAAAATTTAACTCTCATGATGTCACTTCCTATTCTATGCAAACAACTAGAATTCCTTGGAGATAAGTTTTAATTACATTAACTCTATAAGATTTTGAGTTTTGTTTGTAAAAGTCTTTTGACCTAAATAATGGGTCCAACTTACTTACCATACCCCATTGCCTTGTCTCTGGTCATACCAATGTTCTTAGAAAGTTCTGAAAATTTGGGCTCCACCAGCCAAAAATTGCTTGGGTCTACTATACATAATACTTTGTTTTTGTTTTTTTTTCCATTGTGCCTTGTTTTATACTATTTCATTCCTCTGAAATATGTTCTTTATCAATGATAGCAAGCCCTATGCTTGATTTGGCTATCTTAGTCATGCATTAACTGGAGCCCAGCCTCATTTCAAGAACTCTTCCTTGACCCTCCTCACCAGGCTACAATACACATTCTAACTTGGTGTCTCATAGCCCTTTGTTATACTTTTCTTTCTCATGATTTTCTCATAATTGTATTATTTCTTATGTGTCTGATTCTCCCACTAGTCTATAAGTCAATTAATTACTGTATATTCAATGCCTAATCCAGTGTCTGGCAATCAGACAAGTTTAATAAATATATATTCAACCAAATTCTAGTAACACTAAACTCTTCTCTTCCATGGCCATTACATAAATTCTAATCCTCTTAGATCTTGGCTCAGATTCTTTACTCTGGCTTCTCCTCCAGGGGGATCACCACTAGTGAACTCAGCCTATCCTTTGTACCTTTTTCCTCTAACTCCAGGATTCACTCCTCTATCCTATGGCCCACTCAAACCTTTAGTTACCTCTGTAAAAGCATTTTCTCTCCTATGAGAGAAATAGGGTTTAATGTGTGTGCCTCTCAATTAGGGTATGCAATTTTTAAATGCCAGGACCATATTTTAATCAACTCTAGATCCCTACCATAAAAAATAGTCCCAGAAATGTAGTAAACACTTAGTCACTGAAGGGAGAATACTCTGGCTAGATGCCTTTAATATAAAAAAATGTGGGTGAAAAGTTAAAGAATAGGAAAACATTAGAATAAATTTTAATTCTATTTCTCATCAATTCTAATAGAAAGCATTATAATTTACTATTTGGCTATAAATTCAAATGATTGTTTTGTTTAAAGTGTAAACAGTATATTTTCACTGTTTTTCTATTTTTTTCTGAATAATATATATTAATATCAATGATAAATGCATAGCAAGGATTTCATCAAACTAGATAACTCACAATTAATGACATTTATATATATATGGCTTTGACTACATTACCATAAATATTCATATTAACTTATAAATTATTAAACTTTTTATTTTGGTTATAAAACATTGCTTCGGGGTCCCCAAAACACAATTTCATATGGCATTTTCATCATTAAAATATTGGCTTAACCAACTCAAAGTGTAAAATAGGCAAAGGTTGGTTGTTGATCTACCCAGTCTTTCCATATTACACCTTATTTCCCCCTCAGATGGCTTTAATAATCACATCATCTTCAATATAAAACTTTCTATTTTACTTATAAAATTCATACTGTGAGCACTTTAAGCAGAATATTCATGTTTCTCCATTACTTCTGCTTAAGGTATCTGCAAAGCTATTGCTGCCACCCTAATCAGGCACCAAAAATCACAGGGTGACAACTACAAGAGGTAAAGACTAAGTACCATGACTGCATTAGGAGGGCATCAATCCTTTTTTAAAACTAAGATCAAGATCTTTCATTCTGGTGACCTCCAGTATCCCGTTAAATAGATAATGCATGCTCAGGACAATAAACTTCTGGTCTTTTGAGTTTCTTAGCAATTGATTTTAACAATTGATGTTTTTATATTTCTTGTTCTCCCAGGTTTGTATATTTCCTTTTGCTCTCCCCCCCCTTACTTTTAGGCATTGCCTGCTCTGCAACTTGGATCTTACAGATATAATTACCTGTGAATTGGTGGGGGGAAAATGTGATGGCATAGTGCTAGTATATTTTTTAAGTTTCTACTTTTAATATCTTTATATTATTTGTGATATTCTTAATAGATATTAAGCATAATTCATTTAGTGTATAATAAAGTCAAAATATGTATCATTTACCTAAAAAAAAAGAAGCAATCAGCGATCATCTAATTCCAGGGTTAAATTACACAAATTATGTAGCTCTCATGACATGTTATTGTTCATGATCCTCAAAGATCCATGTTTAAAATTTTAACCTACTTTTATTAACTAATATCATGACAAGCTCGCTAATATCATGACAGGTGAGTAGCCTGGCTGAGATCTAAGAGAAGCCACCCTTTATAGAACAACCATCCATTTCTTTTGAGATACCACTAAGGGCATTTATTTATGTATGTACACTCTGTGTTTGTATTCAGTAATACAAAATCTATTGATGCCTGGGTGGAGGATAAATTACTGAGATATGAGAGCAACATAGGTTCGGATTATATACTGAAAATGTCTTTCTTCCATGTGTATTTTATCTTTTAACTTTTATCGTAAGCTGTGCTATCAATTTTCAAGTCTTTTGCTATAGTTCAAATGAAATGAGTTTTCTTGACAGAAGTAACAGAATTGAGCACTTATTGCTTCTGAAGTCTGTGTATGATACTATTCAAGTTTAAAAGAACTGGGCTTTAAGTATAAAGCTGGCATAATTCATTCACTCCTCACTGTTCATCTGTTTGCTTAATTAAATCCTGGTTTTAGCAAAATTCTTGGAAAACAGATCTGCTTATGGAAGATAATTCCTCTATGACTAAAGCTCACAAAGTGGACTCAAGGCAGATGTTAAGTCCACTTGTTCGATCAATGTGCAATGTAAGGAGGGCCTCCTGCTTCATCCATGTGGAAGGAATACAAGTATAAAAGAACACTCTGGTTGATATATAGCATTTAGGGACATAGTTGGTAGAAAAGAGAATCCTGTGTTATTGCTTCCCAACAGTGCTAGACTCCACTGGAAATTATACTTCTCGTGTGTACACACAACATTCTCACAGATGAAAAAGTTTATGCACACATCCCTGTGGCAAATCACATTCTCATTAAGCCACTTCACATTTGTAAGCGAGACTTTTTTTAAAGGCAGAAATTGCTTTCTCTTTCAATTAGAGATTATGAGAGTTTTCTCTTTTTCATAGATGTAGTTGAGGAGTTATTTAATTGCTGACGTTAGAGGATGTGCCGTTAAGTGAATTAATTTATGTTTTAAAAGTACTTAATGTTTTTGTCTTGCAGGCACTTTTCATGTCTGTCTTCTAAATACATGTGTCCTGGTGTACCTGCTGTCATGAGCACCTTGCTGGCAAATATAAATGCTTTCTATGCTCATACAACAGTTTCAACAAATGTACAGGTTTCAGCGTCAGATCGATTTGCCGCTACCAACTTTGGTGTAAGTATTGTTTTGTTAAATTTAAAATTTCTAATAGCTTATAAAAGTTACATTTTCAAGAAACTTTGGATTCCAGATATTCTTGGAATCTTATTGCAGAAGGTATATCTTAGGGAATATCTCAGCATAAACAGGCTAATGCTAAAAGTTCATTTGAACTATATTCAGTGAAGTAAGTTTGACAATCAGTAGGCATCTTCATTAGATTAACTCCCCACATCTTGAATGACTTTTTCCAATGGGGGGAAAATACGCTGTTTGAGAGTATTGGTATTTTATAGGAAATTCTTCACGTATGCAAATTTGAGATCCACCATTGCAGACACTATTCCCTGGTAGATGTTAGCTTGGTTGACTATTCCCTGGTAGATGTTAGCTTGGTTGACTTCTCTATAGCCTATTAGGCTTCATTTGCACTTCCTATTGGTCCCTACTGGTCCTGATAGAAAGTGACACATATTCTAAGTAAAAAATAATAGGTGTGTAAAGAGTCTAAGAGAATGCTCTGTACCTAAGTAAGGCTGTCCACCTTCAAACGCATCAAGAACACATTGAAAAGTAGAAATGCAGGGATCCTAAGAAGTCTCAAGTATTTATCTACTGCACCTGTCTCTGGAACTCATTCTCCATACATAATTAAATTGAAATTGACAAGACAGGAAATAAGATATAAATAACAGAAATCCCAGTAAAGTGATGAAGATCTAAACTAAGAATTAGTGGAGATAGAGAAGGGAGGACAAATTTTAGAGCTTTTTAGGACATAAAATCAATAGCACTTGGTGTCTTTAGGGATGTAGACAGTGAGGGAAAGGGAAAAATTCCTAGAAAGATTCCCAAGGTTTGGGTCAGGGCAACTGCTTAGGCCAGTAGCTCTGTTCAATATCCTTGTGAGACAAGTATTTTTTTTTTCTCAATTTGTTATGGAAGAAAATAAGATCCATTGTAGAAAAGTGATTTCCATGACACCATAGTTACTTTTCCCACTGAACTTCCAATTTGGTTCACTGAATAGATTTTTGTTATTGATCACGCTATTAGAAATCAAATTTTGGGGCAGGAAACCCAGCAAATAAAAGGATATAAAATCAGTAGGGGAAAAAAAATGTGCTGCTGCGCTTACTCTTTTCCTGTCCTTTTCATTTAAAAGAAAATGCATGTGAGGTCTGTGAGATGAGTTGGAATGAATCAAAGGAAAAAGTAAATGTCAAAGCCAAATAAATACTAATAGGGGAAAACACTATCTGGGTTAGGAGTCATGGGGTTTGAGTTTGTACTCAAAATTAGCAAGTCAATTCAGTTATTTAAGCCTCAGTTTCTCAGTCTGCCCAAGGAAGATAATAATTATTGCTCTAACACGTTTCTCAAATTTAAGATGAAAATGAAATGAGGTATAAGATGGTAAGCCAGTTTATAAAAGTTGAAAGCGATCTGTAAATATAAGGTATGAGGATTTTATCCTTCCTGCCCTGCCTATAGTATAAACAGTCACCATCAACTATTTTCATTAGACCAATGGACTCATAAAATCTGGGATCAAAGAATATTCTCTGGCTCAAGAAAATACTGTTATGACCAATACCGGATCACAGAACAGTGTTGTTATAAAAACCTCCTCTTGGTAACAGTATTCATTGTCTTGGGATTTTACCTGTAACATAAAGCATTCAGTGTTATGAAATAGTTTTGCCTTTACAATTCTGCCTGGGTACATTGTACAGAATAAGCCAACTTTGTAGAATACTGAGGCTTTTTACCACTGAGAAAGAAGATGTGTATATTTGATTAATATCCACCATAACAGCTACCTGGAGGAAAAGGAGATAGCATGCTCCTTTACTTCATGCTGACCTAAAGAAGAGAAATCAAATTAATTTCAGTACTTTTCATTGTTTCAGTGGCAACATGGTTATAACAAACTTCATTTTTTAAATCAAATAGCTTATTATAGAAGAGAGTCAAAAAGCTTTCTTCAAACTACATCTTGATAAATGTGAGTTGGTATGCAAACGTTACCATACTTTACCTATTGAAAATAATGCTATCTGCACAGTCAAATATATCTAAGTGTAATATCTCCCACACCTCCACTTTAGGGCCTAAAGTTCTTATTTACCTGATTTCTGAAGCTGATACTGTCACTTGTGACTTAGGAACACCATTATATTGGCTCTTCTTTATCCTTTTCAAAGGGGTAACCCAGACACTTTTCTCCAAAAAATAAGCCAGTATACAAAGCTATTTTTTTTTAACCTATGAGGATTATGAAACAAATATTTAAGAAAAGAAACCATTACTCTTACAAATTCAGACTTTTTCCGTACAGGTGTTATTTGAGGACACGGTTTGGATAAAATTGTTTAACAATAAAGTGAAAGGGACAGAATCCTTGGATATGGAGAGGAAAGGCAAGCAAAGTTTGCTGAGGAAAATAGCTAATGAAATTAAATGAAAATAATAATATGATATTATGAAAGACAAGGTCAACTATTTTGAGAAAAGAGGAGTATATAACATCAGCTGTCACAAAACATTCAAATAAGATGGGGAAAGAGATGAGTCCATGGGATTTGGTAATTAATGAAGCAGTTGAAGCTGAAGTATAATTTCGTAGCAATCTCAATGAATGGCATCGATGAATTACTGTGTAAAGTGAGTTCGTTTATTCACTAAAATATAACACAATCATTAAAAGTCAAGTTTTTAAGGACAAGTTTATATATTTGAGCAATGCCCATGACACAATGATAAATGGAAAAAAAAGGATACAAATCTCTTATAAATAGGACTGAAAGAAAAGACACTAAAGTGCCAGTGGTGCAACCACCCGGTGGGATACCACTATTTTGTTGTTTTTGTTTTGTATTTATACAAAAGTTGTAAAAATTTCTATGTTGTATTAATTTTATAAGAAACTATGAAAAAAGAATAAAAGTTGGTGAAGAAATAGAGTATTCAGTTAAGGAACTGAAGGGGAAAACAGAGTTTGGTCAAGAGTGAGAAAGTTTTGTCATGAAAACAGATTTTATTTTCATTGTTGGGTAGAGTAGACATTTTTTATTATTTAATAGGATAAATTTGAACGTGTTTATAAATCTTTAGGAAAGAAATTACTTGCAAGAGTGAAGCTGCACACTTATCAGATGGAGAACAAGTGATGCAGTAACATCCCAGAGGAGAAAGAAGGAAGTGCAGTGGAGAGGACAGAAGGACACACATTCTTTGGAATAAGAAAGGACAAGTTCTATTTTGAAATTTGAGGAGACAGTGTAGGAGTCCTTGCACAAAATGCTAAGCTTTTGATATGGAAATGAAAAATCGGGGAAGTCTATACCCTATTTCCCTAATCTTTTCTATGGTTGTTTACAAGGATAAGAAATGCTTATCTGCAAGACAAGGGCTATGATATAGATGCATGAGGTGGAGGAGTTAGGTAAAGGTTTGGATAAGCTACTGAAGGGAATAGAAAGAGGAATGCTTCACTACCATGGAAGAGGAATTCCTAGTAAAGCTGAAGGTCTCATTTGATACCGGGAAGCATAAATTTGTTGCCACAACAATTCATGTGGCTGTGAGATTTTCTCAGAATTTCTCAGCATTCTGATACTGATATAGTAACAGATCTAGCAGATGGTTGGATTGACTCTAGGTTGAAATTTTGCAGAAAAACAAAGCAATGAAAAGGTAAAGGAGTTAGTATATAGATTATCACATCAAGAGAAAAGTTGAAGTGATTCACCATAGGGTCTGGTGATAAGTGACACCATGACAGAGAGAGAAAGAGAAGAACAAAAGATTTTGTTAGGAACATTATATTTTATAAGATTTTAAAGAGGAAGTCTAAAGTCTAAGATGTATTTCTGGGAGTAGATTGTTGAAAATTGAGCATAGAACAGTGGTGTATTAGAGCTGCTTTATACCTGCTCACAACGAGTGATTACCAAATTTTCAGAAATATTGCAAACTGGTTGTCGAACAAAGCCATCCTTGAAACTGGAAATATGGAGAGTACTTACATCATGGAAATTGACAAATGCTAAATATCAAGGCTTTCTTCTTTTGGAGAGATGATTTAGCAGCACACCATTGAGTGTGAAGTTGTTTGGAGTCAAGAAGATCAAAGAACTTTATTGTATAGAACATCTCCATGGGTGTTGAAAACACCATGGGTAGATCAAGGGTTGGAAAGGAAGAAAACTCCATGAAGTGGGGGTCGATATTTCAACTTCAGTAAAAAGTCTTTAGGAAATGTATTTAGTGAGTTATCTTAAGACAAAAAGAACAAGTACATTATTAGTAAACGTGATGTTTATCTAGCTCTATATATTTTTTTTTTCTTGAGCACATACACCCTCTTTGTCACAGGCAATACAGGCAAAAACAAACACGCTAATAAACATTTTTTTGGCATTACAAATGGCTTTTTTTGTTCACTTATTCAAATGCATGTATGTGACACCTCATGTAAGGCACTATAGCAGGTAGTGGAGGCACTAAAAGATGTTGACCTCTACTGTCAGGGGCTTATACTCTAATGGGGTAGTCATATAACTATGCATAATAATAACCACAGATCTCTCTCAAATTAAGTGCAAAGGAATTTATACTTATATATTGGCTTTGAGACTGAAGAAAACCTAGTTATTGATTCTAGGACTTCAGGGGCTCAAGGAAGCTTGACAAAAGGAACAGAGCTTTTACGGATGAGTAATATTTTTCGAAGTCTAAGAAGTAGTAGAAAAACTGCCTTAGGCCTGGGAAGACATGTGAGTAAAGACTAGGGAAGTAAAGATGCAAAATAAATTTAAAGAAGTTTGTATAAGGTAGTCTGCCTACTGAATATGGCAGAATCAAAGAAACAAGTATAAGAGGAAGCTGTGTTATTGGGTTAACATTAATTTTTGAGAGTCTTTAACGCCCACTAAGATGTCTGGACTTTATTCTTGAGGAATAGAGTATAATTTGATAGAATTTTCGATTTAGAAAGATCATTCTGTAAG